ATTTACTACATTAAGCGGTGGCGACTGCGGCTCCCAAGAAAAGTAGTGGGAGAGAGAAAAATGAGTGCATGGGAGGTAGATGCAGTGTACTTATCATATCAATGACTGATGACTGAGAATATAGAAACGATGCAAAAAAAACAACTTGGGCTAACGATGCCAGTGAATAAAGAAACAAGTATTACGACAAAATGCAGACCGCTATTCCGTACTGATGTACGCCAGGTATACGAAGGACGTGTACACAGCGACAGGTGAGTGTCGGTGTGGACGTAGAGACACCTGGGCAGTAGGTAGATATAGTGCGTATGCACAAGATGGCGAACACACAGGCGCATCGTATTAGAGACGGCAACGCCACCCATGGAGGGTGAGTGACGAGGCAGTAATAGAGACCTGCACACGAAAGCATCCGTGATGTCATGAATATGCGCATCCAGGGGGTTTCCGGCTTGTACACATGGGAGTAGGTGTGTATGAGGTGTACACTGATGAATGGCGGAGAGAGAGAGAGGGGGGGGGGGGGGTGGATTCACTTAACAGTGGGGCGTGCCCAGTATGGATCGCAGGGTACGCGTATACTAGCAAAGGGGATGGTCGATGAGAGCGCAACGTGTATTGAAAACGCCTCATTACAAACAAAGGTATGTTGTTGCACACACACGAACGTGTGTGGAAAGAGAGGCGCATGGTAAGCGGAAAAGTCAGGACACCCCAGTGGGCAGAAAGTGATGGATTGTTGGCCGGAAGTCGTTTGACCGTCACACGAATTCAACCGGGCTGTCAGCGCTTCGATGGGAGGTGATCGAGGCTGACGATGCCGTCATGGGTACTCGCCACTCACCAAATTTCTTGGCCCGTGCGAGGTGTTCATAAGCGAGGTTCAACGCGTTCTTGACATTGGACAGACTGCTAGGGGCAACCGTAGCATGCCAGGCTGCCTTGAGGCGTGCCACAAGGGGTGCAACCAGGATATACGCTAGCGTCCCAGGCACTGCTAGACCTGCAAAATTAATACGTTTCTTCCAGTATTTACCTGCTTGTGGTGAGACGCGCATAAATTAGCAGACCTTCTACAGCTAAGAGACAGGTGCAGATCTCAGTGGAGATTGCCTGAGTAACCACTGTTTAAAAGCGCCCTGAGGTTTGATGACCACGTCATAGTGGCCTTCGACAATGCAGGGACAGTACTTTGAGCTGGTCCCGGTGGCGGGTCAGTTCCTTACCCGCAAGGCCATCGCGGAACGTATCTCGACAAAATTCGTCCAAGGCCGTAACTGTGTAGGGGCTGAACTACACAGGGCAACCTTGTACCGGGTGGGAGGTCATGTACACGACCTGTTGTCCCACTCGAAAGAAAGGGACGTCTATACGGTTCTTATCGGCGGCTGCCTTCTGAGAGGCCTGCGCGTGTTGGGACATGGCCCCGCTGAGGACGAGGGCAACCATGTCTAACGCTCCAGCTTTCGATTCAAACATGAGGAAACCAAATACGGCCGTCCAGTGCCTTTTGTATAAGGTGCCTCGTCCGAGACTGAAGATACAAGACCGTAATATGACTGGGCAAAAGCATGTTCCAGACGTGCCCAGGACACCTGTATGGTGGGTATCTTGGATTTGTAAATCCATGCCGTCAGTACCTTGTTCATTGCCCTGGTGATGAACAACAGTAACAAAATGCGGTCGAATACCTTCATCTGCGCAGAAATCCTTAAATAACCGCAGTGACTTTGGTCGGAGAGTCCCAAGGAAAGATTTGCTCACATAAAAAGTCAGTGTATGTCGAGCCAGACTTGGCACTCATAGGGCAAACAAAGATCGATTCTGTGGTCGCGCAGAGCTTTTGCCGTCGGGTGCTTCGGGCACATTTGTGAAATCAACATGGATGTGGCTGAAAGGGACTTGCATCCGAAGAGGTTGCTGAAGCAAGCTACGTTCCGTAGAGGGTCGAGACGCGAATTCATGATACGTGGACTAGCTCTTGAGGACTGCCCGGACGACCGTCCGCAAGCCAGTTCAACCGTAGAGGAAGGACATGGCTCTTGTCACCCTGGGCATGCCCGCGTGTATATAAACTTCGTGAACGGCCTCAACGATAAAGTGTACATGGGGCCATGGCAATAACTGGCCGCGGTACGTGTGGAGAGCATCGCCGACCATCGCTGCCATCTTGACATACTGACAGTCAATCTTGGACTGCAACGCTGGAGCGTTCACTGGCAGGGGTGACGAGCTCAGTGGCGGAGTCGTCTCGGGCTACTTGCCCTAGTAGTGATGAAGAGTCAACTCCTCTGTAGTGTATGTTCACCGAAGGATCACCGAATATCTCTTTCTTGTCATCCCTCATGATTAGTTGGCGTGAAATCGACGCGCTCGAATCAGGGATTTCGGCTGGGGCTGGGGGTAGGGGAAGCGTAAACTCATCCACCGGTTACATAGTGGGTGTTGTAAAGTTGCTCGCGCGTGAGGTCGAGGGGGTAAGAGGACGCGGCGTGTGTGATATGCAGGCCACCCAATCCCAGAAACCTGTGTGGCACACAAATGATTCAGAAGTGTACTCGATTCGGTGGATGAGGGTGACTCCCCACATAGGTGGTCCTATCGGTTTGTAGCCATGACGTAAGATGACACCCGGGACAGGGGGATAACAATGGGTAATGCTAGGAGATAGGCTGGCATGATTGCAAACCAGTCAGCTTTCGGTATGTATGGACAACAGAACGTATTACCCCTGCTCGGTCAGCGTTGACCGTGAGAAAGACTCGTTCAACGGTCGTATCTGAGTCTCTAAGCACCTGAGTCCTCAGAGTCTTTCCGCTTCGACAGTATTGATTACTCTATCTTGAATTTTCGTCGCCTGGAGTATTTTTGGTCCCGTCGACCCGTGGCAAGCTGAGCAGCTCAGCACCAAATTTTTTTCTCCTGGACCAATCGTCAATCGAGATAAGTTTATTTGTGTTTAAAATTTTTTGCGCGAATTTTTTTCGTCGATTTTTGACTTGCTAGAATTTCGGTGAATTTTTTGTTTTTTTTTTGGCTCCTGTTGCAAATATTTTGCAACACGATTTTTTTTTTGGATATTCGTCTCCAGTCTTCGTAGCTTCAGCAGCCAGCGAATTTACGACAACGACCAAACGACAACAAATACGACACTACTATGCCACAACGCAGAAGGGAGCTGTCCCCCAGCATCCACGCCACAGTCGACACTCGACACAGCTCGACACCGCTTCAGAAAGCAAAATTTCTTTTTTCAAGAAAATCTCATGAGTAATTTACCAGCGACATTGTGATGCTTGTCCCGGTACAGAAGATTATCCACGCCAGTCGTGAAGCCTGTCACTGTACAGGAGATCGTCTACTCTTCAGAAAATCAACGTTTTCATCAATATTCATCGAGTCTATACTCAACAGCTCCAATTCGTCAACGTTTTCGACAAATATTCATATGTTTGTTCAACGTTTTTCGCCCGACCCATCTACAGAAGTGTCAGAGTCAACAATTTCACTATCTAGGTCTTCAGCCTTTAGCCTTTAGCCTTCAGTCCTTGATTGTAAAACTGAGGGGGAGTGAGAGACTACAGTATTAGACGTATTTCTATATACGTTCATAACGTTTTACGTCGTCAGCCCGAGAGTAATTTGGGACTTATTCTCAAATTAATATAAGTATAGGTGGGTCAGCCCGAGAGAACGTAAGAGTAATTTGAGACTTCTTCTCAGATTATTCTATTTATAGAATTCGGGCCACCGGTTAGCCGAGAGCCGAGGGTCCGAGACTGAGTGTAGTAACAGAGTATATGATATATTTATTTCTGGAAAATATATACGAGTGCTAAAGTGTTCTGCATAAGGTTTCTCATACTAATCATATGAGTTTTTGCCCTGGCCAACCCAAGTGGTTGAACACTAGTACACACACCATCAGTATATAACTGAGGGTGAGATCATAAAAAAATTGATTTCGAATGCACCATACTTTAGATACGCTAGCACTTTACTATTAGTCCCTCACACCGCACTCTAACAACTAGGGTGGGTTACACCACACGTCGAGGAAGGCTCATGACAAAGCAAAGACGCCTCTGTTGTACGTGATTGAGTAAATTAGATCGCTGGTTTCCTGGGCAAGCAAATCTATCTGCATCGTGTGGTCCGTATACGGGGTCAGCGTGCCGGAACCACTCCGCCGCCAGCATATATTCCGTGGTGCCAAATTGATGCGCTATGGTGGATTTCTCTGGTGTACGGGCCAACCCCATCTCTTGTACTCTCTACTCACGACGTATCGAATGTTCCATTGTCTTCACGATATCGAGGTCACGACAGGCTTCCTGCCAGCCTTGCTGGCGACGACCACGGGGATTCTCTTCGAATATATCTTGCATTCATCGTGTAAGAGTGCTTGGTGATCAGTGTGGACCTCGAGGGGGATAGTCGAGCGTTTGATAACACGCCAATACCGCTTGGTACGAAATACTCCCGCTAACCACTCCTTGTCCGTCACGTGGTAGTTACATTGTGCGGACGAACACCGAGACGAGAAAAAGGCTACAGGTTCAAGCTATCCATCGCGTCGGACATATAGGCACCCGCCTACGTCAAAATAATTCACACGCGTCGAAATACAAGGCGAGTTGTTCGTGTGCCAGTGGTTTGGCTAACACAGTACATGAGGCTAAGCGCGCGTTGAACGTGTCAAACGCAGTCTGCTGTGCATCAGTGCAATGAAATGTAGCGTCTTTCTTGAGAAAAGCAGAGATAGGTGTTAGGACAGTGGAGAAGCCTGGTACATACTTCTTCCAGTAGGGTAGGCTACTGTATGATACCATAATTTGGTGAGATCCAGGTCAGTAGAGTGGGGTAAGTTAATGAAAGCTGATAGGCATTCATCGGTAGTAGAATCACCCTTGAAATCTACACGGCGTCCCAATATTGTAACTGTCCGTCTGGAAAAAAGCAATTTGGCACTTGTGTAGTCCAAGTTGGATAACATACCGGCGTCAGCGTTGGAGAACTGTGAGTAGGGCATTCCAATGTTTCTCGGCAGTGTCAGTAGCGATGACAATATCATCGATATGCCAAATAGCACAACCCAGGGAGAAAAAACCTCTGCCATTGCCTTACATCTTGAAACCGCTAAGAAGCTTCGCGAATGCCGAACGGCATGCTCAGGTATGAATAGCGTCCCCAGGCGGTAGTGAACGGGATGATCTTGTCAGTGTCCTTGTCAACGCGGAGCTGATTGAATTCATTCTCACAGTCAAGAACGGAGACCCATAGCTTACCGACGACGAACTCTGTGGTCAGAATACAAGTACTTAGGTTTATTTAGTTACTTTTCGTTTATTACAGTTTTACAGTTTATCAGAATAATCTGATAAACTGGGTTTTTAAGGTTTTGCTGACTTTTACAGCACATATCTGATGACTCATTAATACGGTCATTAATTTTATAATTACTAATAAATGAACAACGTCTCCCTCTCTAACGAGAGAGAACGTTGAGATACAGTTATCCAGCGCTTACTTGCTACATTTTTAAATTACTTTAGGAAGTTGTTAATTTATTAGTAATTATAAGGAAAGCTACGGAATAAGTAATAGCCGGTAGCTAGGATATTTATTATTATTTTAAAGACAATTTAAGGAGAAGAAGCACAAAGATTGTCACATCGAATTGACGAGATCTTCCGAAATTTACCGGACGAAGAAGGAGATATTGGGTTCTCGAGTAGTGAGGCTAGTGATACGATGCCATCATTACTGTCGACTAGCAGTAGTGAGGCAGAAGAAGACTCGAGACAGGAGAACTACGGCAGAGCCGTAGAGAACCACCTGCGGTTGGTGAAATCGAGGAGATTATATTTAGAATCAGCAGACGCGAAATGGTTCACCATATTGAACGATTTAGACTAACTGGGCGTCGAACTAACAATGTGTGGACGACAAGACCGAGGGAGTCGAGTGAAACCGAGAAGGAACCATTACAATCAAACACTACATCAGCCCAGGAGCAACAAGGAAGGTCCCAGGATGAACAGACAACGAAATAAGAGAATCAACAAAATCCACAGATAAGTAGTCACGTGTGAGTATAGGTAGGATAGTTGTGGTTGTATGAGGCAATTGCAAATAGTGTGTGGAGAGGGGTAATGAGTGTAAACGATAAATTAAGAGTTTTTAGCGGAAAGGAAGAAGGTAGATAGAATATACAGTCGTCGAAATGGAGGGTACACATGGTGAGAGCCGATTCGTCTAGTACTACGATACAAGCAGTAGCGATACACTACATTATTTTACAAACTTTACAAAAGGAATTAGGCATTAAGTTTGAAGAATTAGTAGTTAGTTGCTATACAGGGTAAATCAGAAGACATAGTACACACGTCAAGGACAAAACAACGTACACAGATAGTCGATACTAAAGGTTATATGACTTAGACAATGTACATACACGCGCACAACAAACAATACACAAGGAACTAGGAGTTAGGACCCTGACAGAGTTATTTATTGGGCTTATAACTTATGGATGAATAGTCGACAGCGTTTATTAACATAATCTACTTAAGTCCAACCAGAATCAGGTAGCACCGAAGTTGAGAAGCGACAACTAGCTACGAACTATCAACTACAACTAGAGGGCGAATAAGGCGATTTAGTTCGGGTCGTCGACGGAAGAAGTTGTCACAGCAAGAGTACAGAAGCGGTGGTACGCATCTGTATGCTTAGCTTATGTTAGGCATATATAAGGTGGAAACGTACATACTACGAACAATGTCGGTAGCACAAGGTTAAAATTGTGAAATTGACAAACATACATACACAAATCACTGGAGCTTCTAACTACATTAGGTAGTGGGGACGGCTCAGGAGCACGCACAAAAGTTGTGGTTTGCGGTAACAGAGTAGGAGTGAAATATCTCATACATAGGTCTTAGGTTGAGGAACATAATATCACAACCGCAACGGCACATGCCAAGAAGAGCAATCAGGAGCGATAGGTGGAGTATACGATGAGGTTCCGAGGCTAGGCTGACATCAGGTCGGAGCAGGAGCAACCGAGGGGCAGGCTGAGAGGATGCTCCGACCAGCGGGGCACACATCAACAAGATAATTGTTTGAAGGAGAGTAAGACATCAGTTAGTGTTAGATGAGTTTCGATTCTCTATACTTCCAGGGTCAGTGAGTGTAATAAAGTAATCACGAGTGAGCCCACGAGTTCCTCGAAGATCAACGTCGAGACGTCATGTGTTTGCAGGATGGACTCTGGTTAGGAAATGGGTATTTATATTCAATTCTCTACTAGTTCGTTCGCATACATTTCCAGGTCTTCGTTGACAC